CGAAAAAGGTCCACTGCATCCTCAGAGTATGTTCTGAGTACTCACTATAGTTTAGTTGATTACTGCTTGTGATGCTACTCTCAAACAAGTTTTGATCCTAGCATAGTTTACGCAAAGATCAAATTCTGCCAGTTTGTACCAATCTTCTTCACCTTAGAGCAGTGTCTGCCGAAATTTTCGAGGAATTTTTGCACAATGTACACTCTATTTACATGCCCAAGGCAAAGTCGTAAGGTGAAGTCAGACTCAAGAAAGGCGGCTCCAAAGTTTGGCTCTTACTCTCTAGCGCAATGGTTCCACCATTTTTCATCTCGCTTTCATGCGCGTACCCTAAGCTTAGAGGCAGTGTTCCGGCAAATTGTCTTCCAATTTTTTACCTCTTCGGAGCCATCTTGCCATGAGTTATCCATATCCATAGGCTTTTGAGCGCATAACAGTGGCGAAAATGAGCTTTTCCCGTAGCTTTCCAGGTCCGATTTAGTGTAAAGTACGTGTAAGTGGGTGGGGCACGGAGCGAGGGAGGCAGGGTGTGGAAAACTTCCAGCGCATTATTACTGAATGCAGACCTGAAAAGCTTCGAAAATGTCATTTTCGCCATTTCCACGCGTTAAAAAGCCCAGATGTGGGTTCCTTACGGCAAGATACAGAAATAATGCGGGTCTTCACATATGTTATTAGGAGGTGCTCCGATCAGGCCACAACCCAAGTCCCTCTCAAGTTGGCTCTCTCAACAAGGGTAACACGTTACCCTTTCATAAGTCTGACCTTGCGGAGGAAGCTGAGTGTTGAGGGTACCGTTGCTTCTGTGAATGCAACTAGGATTATGCAAAGACGAAGGACTGCATTACACAAAAGCCCGCGACCCAACTTTTGGTGAGACACTACTTTTAGAGTCTTACAAAAGAAACAACCTTCCGTCTCCAGCTTTGCTGGTTCTGTGTTTATTGGACCCAATCAGCCATTTTTGTTTTATGCAAAGTGTAATTTTAGTAGAGGGAATATCCCGGAGGTACTCAGCAACTAGGGCTTTGATGTCAATTTTCCTCGTATGTGTGGAGATTTTGTCACAGAATATGAGTAATATAATGGGTTAATATACTTACTTAAATCAAGTACTTTAGTCGTCATCCTATGCAAACTCATTGTAAATGGAGAAGTTAGGTACCAGAGTGCTGACTAAAAAATATAGGTCCACATTAAAAATACCGTAACTCACTCGGTTGTCAATTTGATTCAAAATTCGGCACTTAGTGTGAAACTGCCTACTATTAGTCACCAAAACAAGCCGTCACCGAGATTTGATGGCACGACTAATGCCGATCCGTGGCACCGTAAAGTTGACGTACAAGGGAAGGCCGCTCGCTCGAAGTGGCGATCCGGAAGATGAAGTGTGCCAAACGGATGGAGCTTGGAACTGATCTCAAATATATCTTCTATAACTGTAAAGCGTTCTTTTGAAAGACTTATGAAGATTTCTTATGCTAATTTTCGTGAATTTCGATGGCAAAATTCGGAAATTTCCACACAAATATGCAGGCTCACGCAAACCACCTAATAAGCGTTGTAAGCCTGAACTGATTCTAAACGTTCTTAGGTGTTGCTCAGCCCATATTGTTATCCACATTTCATTGTAGCCCGAAAAAGCCCATAACTTCCTTGGATTAACGCTTCGCATTTATATAACGTTGGTGCAAAAGTAATGCGCGTTTTCCGATTCCTCAATTTCACATGTTATAACTTTCTAGCAAATCTATCTTTTTCAGTGCGATAAAGACCATCAGAGGCAGCAAAGCTTTCGCAATACAGCACATATCCCTTTGTGCTCATATCATCAACGGCAAAAAATTATGGATTAATAAGCGAAAAAAAGTGCTTTGAATCTTTTAACTGGCCAAAACTCCATTCAAAATTTGTTAGTGTAAATGATAAGTAGCCTACCTTGTAGCCGCAAGCTTATAGTACAAAAAAGATGAAAGGTTTGTAAAAAAAGGTTTGCGAAAAGAAAAATATATAAAAGTAAAATTGCCACCTTTTTTCAACAAATGGAACTTTTGTTTTCTGCGTAGTAAACGGCTAAACGTTTTTGCAAAAAAAACCTGTCAAAAAGAGACCCTATCCTCACGCTTACAGAAATGAGTGAAGTTTGGCAATTGCTCTCTGCAGTACAACTACATGGACCACAACAGACAATGACTGGCAGACTACGACTGGCCTTGTTGAGGTGTCTATATCTCAGCTTAGATAATCTCAGAAAAAATGATTAGATGTGCATAATGTAGACATTTCGTAGGCATTGCAAAAGAAGCTGGATTTTCACAGGAATGTCCATATTTGCGCTTGAGTGCTGACCCGAGAAGTAAATGCAATGGAATTCTGGTTCAGTGCGCTTGTATAAAGCTCTATAATTCTTTTATGAATGAGGCTAGAAGCCCGTTCTGACGACCAGTGGATAGAGTATAAAAAGATTCTTGATGCCATGCTAAGTTTTTGTCAAAGAACAAATTTCGATGGAAAAAATTGTCTTAAAACATGAGCTACAAAGACGCACTTTACTTTTGCACTAACCTAATAGAAGGTGTATTTAGAATCAGCGTTTCAAATTATATCCGTTGGTATCCATCCACTTCCATATTGTTACTTTGAAAAAGCGGTCTTCCTTTGTTAGGGCCGTCCGCCTCGATTTGGATTGACGGTGGTTCACTACAGGTCATTTTATACTTGATGTCCCGCAAGTTAAAGTTGTCACACAGGTAGTTAGTGCAAATATCTGTTTCGAAACTTTATTATTCTAAATATTCGATGAAAGATATTAAAAAACCAAGAATTTCGACTATTGAACCACCAAAAAAATACACAATATCGCTAATGTTCGATTTTCTGATAGCATAAATCAATGTTCCAAAGACTATAAGGTAACTGAGCATAGTGGAGTACCTTGCTATTAAGTATTTAATTTGGGTTTTGAAACTTTTGTAAGAATAAAAAAGGAATTAAAGATTTGTCGTTTTCTGTACTCTTCTAAACATATGCCGGCATATCATGCTACATTGGAAGAAACAACCAACTGCTTGCGAACCCTTGCTATGAACTGCGGACGTTAGATGAGTAGCTTTGATTTGATCGAAAGATTCAGGGATGAAAAGCGGGGAGCAGCTTATGAATTCAAATTAGAAAACGGCGGTACGTGACACTACACTTGTCCTTGTTCCCCTTTGCTCTGGAGATACCTCATACAAAGGTTTCATATGTTAAGGCGGGAGGTCAAAAAAACAAAACAAAATATAAAAGCTCCCCTTCCAAAGCGTTTTTATTGGACTTCTCCTCCAAGCTAATGAAAACTGCCTGACTTGTAAGCTTGTGACGACACAATCATGCTAGCTCCACGGCGATATACTGACACACGAAATTATCAACTGCACACTTGATAGATCTGTCCGTAAACATATGTAGTGCTCTAGCCCTGCTGATTATACTTTGCAAAAAAATCGATGACATTGATAAAATTGACGGACATTTCTAAAAACTAATAATGTATTCGTAATCAGCATGCTCGCTTATCCCCTCCTCTGTGTCAAACCCCAGTCCAAAGCTTGCAAAAAATAAATAAAATCGATAAAAGTATAAGATAGTTCTAAAAGCTAATGTTGAGACAAACAGACATTCAGCTTTATATATCAAGATTCTTTCCTTGAAGGCAGTGTCCCAGTAGAAAACTGCTTTGCGATTTTTCAACTTTTTGGAGCCTTTCGTTATGCTGAACCCATATCTGGGTTTTTCAGCTCATGAAAATGGTCGAGAGGTTTTCGAAGTTCTACAAGTCCGTGTTCGCTCAAAATTACTTGCAAATAGGCGAGGTCCGAAAGACTTCTGGAGTAGATTCCAAGCCTTCTAGGTGCGCGTTTCGTTCAAGACAGATTATTTGGATGGTCTACTATTGCAAGGCTGTGAAGTTTCAATACCCATGACTTTGCTGGGACGCTGTCTTTTAAGAGCGTCATCCTGTCTAATTTATAATGTCTTTCTTTATTATGACAAATTGTTCATGATGTGGATTTTACTCGATTGTCAGCTCGTGAAAGCGCAAGCGAATATTTTAAAATATAAATGCGCATCAAATAAGCAACTGTACGATACGATGACAAGGACGATGGTTGATACGCATAAGAGCTTCCATAACATTACCAATCAAGGCTGACGCCGCAAATCATAACTACCGTACTAAAAATTGTGTGAATGGTTTTGTTTACATACTTTATATCCTTCCACGATGGTTCTAACAAGAATCCTCAAAGCGAAAGGCTTCTTGATTTTAACGGCCTATATGGCCCTAAGCTTTGATGAAAATTATCTTACACTTCCGTGTCCCCGGAATGCTCATTGAGACACCTTCAGACTGCTGTTCAAGTGCCAAGCTTCTTTGGGCTTATTTTCCGAATTACTGTGCTGACTATTGAAGAAAATTTCCAGTGCAATATCGCAGTAAGCGTAGTACGTCGTCGCAAACTCATTCAACTTCTCAGTCAAGAAAAGACTAAATCTTGAGATTGAGATTGAGCAGAACTCTTCGCTTAGGCCATAATCATTTGAATAACTTACAATTCTATGCCAACTCGTTCAGATGGCGCCAGAGGGTAGCAGCCAACATAAACTGTAGCTAGTTCCATCTATATAGTTGCGTTACTCAATCTATATTTACGCTGTGATTAAATAGAAAATTTTGGGAAAAAAGTTTGAAGCTGGAAGTTTGGTAGGGCCTAATCTTTACTCGACACCATTTCTGATTCGGCAAAAAATGGTGTCGAGTAAAGATTAGGGCGATGAACGGTTGCTGCAATTGCATAGTCTGTCCGCACAAGTCTTTAGCCAATTATAGTTTGAGTCATCTAAGTCGATGAGACTTAGAATCGGAAAGTGGTTGTTTACAGCAAACAACTCTTTCCGATTCTATGACCTCAAACGACTATTCTGTTCTAAGACCTCAAATGTAACAACACTGTACATACATGAAAGAATTTACTAGCAAGAGTAAAAAACAATATAAAGCGACTACGAAAGATGAAGTGCCCCCGCATAGTAGAAAAGTCTAACGAAAGGACAGGATAAGTGATGTATAGTTGTTTAGAGTTATGATCTCTACACACAGAGTCCAAGAGCGCTGTCGCATGTCGTAGGACAAGCAGCACAAGGACTTCCCTTCATGTAAATTGGTTCGTCCACGTTGTTACCTCTGTAGAACTCTCATACTAGCTTGAATGATAAAGCAAACGTGCGACGTACTTTGGATCATATAGACATATGACCGTGTAGGAAGATGAGCATTTGGCGATTGCACATCCAATGTATCTGGTGTTGGCCCAAGCAATCTGAGAATGAGAAGTAAAAATGCTGATCTCATGTTATGCAAAAAACAGCGTGTGTTCCACTCCACTTACTGTTTCCTAGTATTGACTGCTTATAATCATTAAGGTCTACAACGCGCATAGATGGCATTTCTAAAAAAGCATTCGTCCTTACCTGAGTAAACGATTCTACAGGTTGATTCACATGACTAAGGCGGAATGTCACTTGCATTCCTGGAACATTGGTTCCGGTACGAACCACCTTCCACCAATTTGTCACAGCCTATATGCATTTTACGAAATTCTAAATCATGAACCATACAAAATTGCCAACCTTTTTTATTGCATCTCTGTAAGTTGGTACAACGGCACTCGATGCGAAGGTGTCAAAGTTTTTACCATACATATCAGTGTTTGGATTCCGTGGCTTGGATGTAGGACATTCTCGCACTTCTTTAATAGCTTCATTTTCCAGACTGCAGTTTAAATCCTGAAAATTTTTAAGCATGATAGAGATTTTAGATACACTTGCGAGATTTGATGATGGATTCGCAGCATAGACAATAGATATTACCAGTTTTATGATATTTGCTCCAGTTGGTAGATAGTTTCCGTTTGGTCTTTGGACTTGGCCTTTTGCGAGTATGCTCCTAAAACCATCATTTGTTATCGAAACTGAACGCAAAATGGATGACAAAAATCATATCAAAACCTCCTGTAGTTCTGCGTGTCCAGGAAGTGCATCCTGAGCTCATCAGTCATTCCGACATTGCTCGGGCACCGTGTATTCGTTCCTATAAAATTTGTAGTCACAAGACTACTTTGACTTCGTCTTTTTGAGACTAGGAGAACGATTATTCTGATAGATGCGATTGCCAATCCGAAGATTTAGTAGATTCGAGGAAGAAAGAAAGACGGAAGATGAAGAAAAAAGCACACTTAGGTAGCTCTCATCATCGGCAGATTGGGAGACATTGCAAATTAAAATTCGTAACTGCTATGAATGTTGTCTGAGATCTTCCATTTGGTTTTGTAAATACTATATTCTCCAGGATTTCTGCTTATACAGCACCGTTAACGTAGTCCGTAGCTCGTCAGTTATTCCGTAATAGCTTTTACGCAAAATGTAAAGGCTATGATGGAATGACTGATTATTGGTCACAGGATCAACCTTTTTTGGAGTGAAGGAAGGAACATCCCTATCTATCTTTCAGTGATGACTGCATACCAAAAAGGCTACTGCATTCAAAAGACCGAGTTCTCAAAATTCTTCCAATTTCAACCTGGCTTCGTTAAGCCGACGAAAGACCTCTTTTTTGATAGTAAATTTTTCCCTGTATCCCCGAATAAAAGTTCTGGGAATCCTATTGCCTTCTGTGGTTACATGGCAAATTTTTTGCCTTCGACAGCTTAGTTGTAAACAGAGACCGAGCACCCTACACTTACGTGTAGGTGAAGTACTTTTGACATATGTAAAAAGCAATATAAGATGTGAAAGTGAGCTACGTTTTAGCCTACTTTAGCCTAGCCCTCAGAGAGAAATTCATGTTTTATGTTTGAAAAATGAGATCAAAAGGATTTGGTATCTTTGATGCTTCGATTAGAACATTCACTTTAGTATGTAGTAAAAGAGACTAAAGAATTCCCTGCTGCCTTTTGTAATGGTATGTACATGCTTTTAGTCTCTCGCCAGAAGGAGACAAGATGCATGGCCACTGATAATTGCAGAGTAACTGTTTGATTATTCACAGTACCGCGAGCGCATGTTTAGTTTGATTTCATTAGAGGCCTAAACGCCTGTATAGTCAGAATTTTAGAATTCTACAAATAAGTACCTGTGGGTAGCTCGCCAGGATAGGAAGCCTCCGTAGTTGTTGTGGCCTTTGCGGTCGTTGTTGTGGTCTCTGTTGTGGCCTTTGTTGTGGCCTTTGTTGTGGTCTCTGTTGTGGCCGTTGTTGTGGCCTTTGTTGTGGTCTCTGTTGTGGCCGTTGTTGTGGTCGTTGTTGCGGCCTCTGTTGTGGCCTCTGTGGTTGATTGCTCGGGCGCTTCGCATAATTTTGTTTCTTTGTTGCACGGTCTGTTTTTTTTACAACCACTACAGGCTTTTGTTGCATTAATCGTATAGATAACTCCACTTCCAGTATTATCAATTGGTCTATAAATAACATAGCTTTAGTTTCTGTGATGTACTATTTGAGAGCGGCCAAAAAAGGCTCAAAAGCAAGTAAAGCTGTTTTAGTCGCAGACAGAACTGCATATGCATAGACGATTTATGACACGCAAAGATTGGGCACCATTGCGTCCCACCGCGATATTTGGTGCATGATAGAGACAGCAGATGGTAGGTGAAACGAAGCGTTCCATCAAAAAGACGCCGAGACGTCCCCATCATTGCATGCTACGAATCGCCGGTATTTGCTTGATTAACGAAATCAAAATTCATTGGGAAAATCGAAGATTTCGTCAAACTTCTTCAAAGCCATCGAATTAAAAAAAAACCAATGATTTCTATCATATGCGCTCGAAAAACTGTACCTGAAAAGCATAAGACTTCTGGCTCAAGTGATCTCCAAAAATACTAGATAAATCCATCTGGTACGTTCTATCTAATGGTTTGCTTGACTACGGGCTTGTTGTTCTTGGATCGTAACAAGCACCAAATTGTAATTGTAAATGTTTGAATATTTGAGTAATTTAGCCTCACTGTTGAACAGTCTTTTCAAAATCTTTTCCAGAAAACCTGACATATCTTGAGGCTTGCAAATTCTTCGTTATCCACGCAACAGGCAAATCTGCGGAAGAAAGCTTACGGTTGGTTTGTTAGGCATAACAGGGGTCTCCTTCCGTTTTTACAAATGAGCTCTGCACAGCCAATCTTTGTCGTTTTCTCATTCATAAGCTGAAATATGTTGACATTATCTTGTTGATGTCGTGTGAAACTCAATTACACAGAGACTAACATCAGCGAAGTGCTCGAAACTAGTATCACCACTAGCCCTTATGACTTGAGTGCTCCCAGGGTCAGTTGCTTGCGCAGCCGCCTTATGCTCCAATAACCACTGGTAGACCACAGAGCTCGGCGGAACCCCGAGTTTATCAAGACCGCTAAAATTTACGTCGTAATATGATCTTCACACATGAAAGTAAACAGCTATAAATGTGCCGTCACCATTCACTTTCGAAACGTTTGAGAATTTGCTGAATTAAATAGATGGATATTTAATCCATTACCAAGGCCACGGCACAATAACTACAGATGAAAAGTCTGTTAGTGATTGCTTACTCATGGTAGAGCGCTGCTTTAGTGGTACTCCCTGATTTATCGGTAACAGGTTCAGGTGTTGTCGTACGTGTACAGTCGATTCCTAATTTTTGTATCGCTTTTTCCTCCAGATTGCAGCCCCATTCCTAAGTTGTTATTGCAAAGCTTTTACGGAGCTTTATATAATAGTGTATCTTGTGAAAAGGCTACTATTCGGAGCTGAGATACTTAGGCCAAATGAAGATTAGAATTCGGGAGCTCTCACCTTTAAGCCCAAGTGCTAATTTTTGATACCTGCCCAAAGTATAAAATACAATGCACTTACAAGTTTGTTCATTGCGTCCGCTTTTGGATACTTAGCCGCAGTACCGTCATCCAATTTTCCCCTTGCCAACGTTGATCGTTGTTTATTGATAAGGTCTAGTATATCATCGGTAATCGACTTTTCGAGTTTACCATCAGGGCAATACGCTGTAAATGATTATATTTGGAGTATAGCTTTGTCGGATGTTCTAACCAACCTTCTGACGAAGCTGAAGGCACTAATATTGCCTGAAAATTAAATTTTATTGTAATTTAGTAATGGTTCTTTGAATGGCTTGTAAGAGAGTCCTTACCGTTAGAGGCAAAATCAAAAAGAGGAACATTTTGTAGATTTTCGAACTATTCGAGATTCGCCCGCTTTTATGCAGCCGCTGTGGGCGTGACACCATCTTTGACGTAATATCAAATGTTTAAAAATCTGTTTAACTTGATGCAAGCATGTGATATCTTCCAGAATTTTCAGAAAAAAAAGTTAGCTGCACAATATGTTATTCAGTTGCTACCATTGTTTCATGCTGTGCACGAAAAATATCGCAGCAAACTTTTTCAAAAAATCTAAGGCAATTCTTTTATTCCGGGGAAGAGCATTTTACTTGTTCGTTGCTGACCACTTGACAGAAGTTATCTAAAGAAAAGAAAAGCGAGGATGTAGTAATCGTAATTTGTGGAAAAAATAAAAGCATACTGGTTGGAAATAAGTAAAACCCTACTCTTCATTGTCTCTTATGCTAGTCTTATAATTAGTCATTTTGTAGGATTAGTTTCAGAATGGTGTGAGAGCTGAGGCTTTTTGATGCAGGCACCAATGTAAGAGTTTCAAAGCAAATCCGAAAGAAGAGGGACGGTTTGAGCGTGGAAGAGGAGAATGAGTTTGAGTATTTGTTGAGGTAGGTTAACCAATGTTCGTCTACCGTGACCGACCACAGAGTCTTTTTTCTGTTTGTGGGAAGTACACTACTGCAGGATTGAATTTGTGAGCCACAACTACCACAAAACACTGTGCTTTCTGTGATTTCCGGGACAAAATTATGAATTGGTTCAAAAGTGTGTCGCACCGTTTTTGTAAATGTAACTTTTTGCACAACTTGATTTTGACGGAAGGGAATCAAATTTTTGTGGTGGTTTGCTGCTCTTCGGCAAGGGTAAGCTTTTGAAATAGAAGAAGGTAAAAGAGGCGAACTAAACTTGGGTATCTTCGGTGGTGAAGGTCAATCAAGTTCGCTCGACTCAACGGGTTCACTTGATTTTCTTCTGTTTTTGAGGAGTATACGACCGCTGACTAGAATATGTGAGTCACAATCGCCCGAGAGAGCCATTCAGCCATTCAAGATTCACAAACAAAGGTCGCGAGAGTTCTGCTGACTTCTCAAGCTCTACCTAAATGTTCTTATGCCAGTGAAGGCAAAGTAATAGGTTGGTGCAAGTTCTGTCGCACTTTTGTAAAATCATAACTGTCTCTTCACGATTTACAAAAGCTTAATTTCTGCAAGGGAAAAATCATTTTTTTTTGTAGCAATATCTTTGCCGCTCTTCGGTGAGGGTCAACTTTTGAGATTAAAGCAAGCGAATAAAATCGCTTCAGCATTGGCCATCTTGAGATAGGCCCTCAAGAAAACGAAAGTTGCTACAAGATTCTGATGTGAGCAGAAAGTAAAATAAATCTTGAGATACGTCCTTTCCAAATGTGCGGAGCGCTAAGCATTTTAAAGGGGTGACTTTTGGAAAAATGCTGAAAAAAATCAAATTTGCTGTTTTGTACTGCTTGCTGAGAAATTATGACCAGGGCTCGGCACGAGGTGGCTTACAAGCAAGCTGGGTATCGTTTTTGGGATGAAAAGCAAAGGGGGTTTCGTTTTTGTGACCGAAGACACACGCAAAACTGGCGATTTGGCGACGTTTTTTTTTAGTCGACGTTTCGTTTTTTGGACGATTTTAGGGAAAATGGTGGGGGGTCAAAGGGGACTTCGTAAAAATACCCAAAAGTCAAGGGGGACTTCGTTTTTCGCATTTTCATCTAGCCACCTCGTGCCGAGCCCTGATTATGACTCTTTGAAATGCCTGATTAGTACAGCACAGTTGAGAGTGTGTCGTTAGCCTTTATCATTATTCAAATGGATAGTAATCCCAATCAGTAAAGGCCAAACTTTTAAACGTTGAAAGTTTGTGAATATTGTGAGTCATTATTAAGAATCTTATTGTTATCCGCTCGTTCCGAAACTCACTGCAAGTTTCAGATTTTTGGCAGCCCAACTTAAAATGCCCTTAGCAAATGTGATTTTAATCTCCTGCTTGTATCTCAAAAGCGTACCCTTATTGGAGGTACTTTCGCAAGGGGATTTTTCCTAGTGTAAGATTAAGCTTACAAATCCGTTGAGGGAAGAAAGCGTTGAATTTTTCAAAAAATGGTGCGAGAGCATTTTCGCACTAACCTATCAAATAGATCATTTGTAGCTTGACAAACTTTTACATTTTATCTTTTTATTCTGGAAAAATCTTAGTCTTGCGAATAAAGGCAAAGTCCGGGAACTCGGTACTTGGGTGCAGGATTAGAAAAGTCTTTGAGCCTGGTTAAGCGATAACTCTTTGGTTTAGATGTATGTGAAAGTCACCTTCAATGTTTAGCTCAGACTGCGTTTCTGCCGTAATCAAGAATGCTGATTAGTCTGCTCGGAAAGAAAAGCTGGAGATTCAAATGAAACTTTTTGGCTACAATCATATGATGCGCTTGGGGCTTGGGCTACCTTCGCTAAGAGCTTTCGTTAGTACGCATATAAGGTCCTACCAGTTTGCTTGACACGTATTTTAAGGGATTATACTATCTTTCCACAGAAGCGCTCATTGCAGAAACATGTAATAGCTCTACGACAAACTTGTTTCAGCTTCATTCTTACAACAAAGGATGGCGACGTGTTTAGATCGGGACACGTGGTAATGAGATAAGCTAAGGTTTATGAAATCACGTTCTTTGCAGAATATTTTAAAATGCGTAAGAAGACTTCTGGAATCTTGTAAATTTTACTCTCTCTAAAATGTAGATAAGCGCAAGCCTGTAACGATGAACTTTTCCGAACTGGTGATTTTTTACAGAGCAAAATATGGATCGTATAGCAAAGCAAATGAAACATGTTGAGGGTATCATGAAATTCCAAGTGTTATCCAACACTCGTTTTACTGTACATGTAATGTAATCCGTCCTTTTTTAGAGTGATGTTCATCGTTGTTCCCTCAGGCAAGTGTTGCTTGCTAAACTCTTATAGTTTTTTGGGTGGTACAAGTCTACTTTGAAAGCTCCACATGCTAGGGTACTCGTTTCAAAAAGGCGGTGTTCCCACATTGAACAAAAGACGCACCTTGTATATATCTAATTTCGAACCAACCATCTTTTCAGCAGAGAATGACTGTTTTAACGACAATTTCAGTCTCTTGGCTTGGGGGCGCCAAAGTCTTGGCTTATGGTAGCCGACAATTTTATTATTCATCAATGAATTGGTTCTTAAGAAACAGTTTTCAAGCTTCACTGTATAGCAAAAACCTTGTGCAAAGCAGTCCATCCTTTAATCTACAATTGAGCCCCTGACTCGGGTGAAAAACACTTGCGAAGTATCAATTTTGACGAAGCCCTCGGGATCTCATAATTGGTTCGAAATATTTTTTACAAGATCGAATAAGAATATTTGGAAAGAGAATGTTACGAGGATTTGAACAGCCATTAAATGTTCACAATTCGAAATGTTTTTTACAAGATTGAATAAGAATATTTGGAAAGAGAATGTTACAAGGATTCGAACAGCCATCAAATGTTCACAACTCACTTTCATTAAAAAAGTTTTCATGCGATCGCTCCGACGAAGCGATCGCAACAAAATTGTCTCATTTCGTTGGTTCATGTTTCTCCAATCACAATAAATATAGGTACAACTAGAAATGATTATCAATGAAAACTCATATTAGAACGAAGAAATTCAATCTCCTTGCATTCTGAATGCGACAACTTCGTCGCGATCTCTCACTTTCGACGACTCAATGGAAACTACCCTCTTAGTGGAAGTAGATTAACTCGTTTTGGTCCACGAAATCGCTCGCGGCGAAAAAAGAGTGTATAGCAGTTGTTGTTAACAGAGGGACCTTATTTCGTAAACTGTGTGCTAAATCTGTAATCAGCAGTCAGATAAGCTCCGTGCCCAAAAATCTGAGTGAATTCAGAGTGTTTGGATTTTGTCGATTGAGAGGGACTTTTGTGCTTTCCTTGTAGATAGGAACAAGAACTCAATCTCTAATAGTCCAAAAGTATCTATGTCGCACACGATACACATGAAACTAGTTTTTCTCTTTGGAATCGAAGCAAGGAAAAGTTGCGACGTCGCAGGCGTTGTTCGCGTTGCCACACTTCGCTGCAACTGGTTCGATCTGTCTTCGTATCTCCTAAACACTGTCTGCGGCACAGCTCTACAGAGTCCTTGAAAAGTGGTAGCTTAGGCCTTTGGCTTGATAACTTTAGATTGATAGAAAACTTTCTGTAGACGTCGAAAAGAGTTTTCAAAGCAGCTTGCTGCACCATGTGTAGCACCGGTCCGAAACGTGTTGACCAATTGATGGTTTTAGCATCATTATATCAAACTCTTTTCGAATACCGTCATTGGATCTAGTGAAAATTATTTTGATCTTAATTATGGACTCCAGCGTCCGTTCTACCCAAATCTGACCTCAGCAATATTTTGTTGAAGATAAACTCACAATATTATTTGATTCTTTACAAAATTGTTTGTTATTGAACATCTTGTTCATGATTGCAATTTGTTCGGACTCTGAACAGATATGCGAAAAAAGAATATCTAATTAATCACCATTCGTGCACGCACCTGACTTTTGTGCAAATAGTACGCGATTCTTGAAGTTATCCTGAACCAGCATCAAAGCCATCTTTGCTTCTGTTTATTATTCTGTTGCTTTTTTGCACTTTTGGAGAGATATGTACAGAGATTGTGCATAGTTCACTTTGGGCAGCGCTGCTCGTTCATTAGATTATAGGAATATAGGTATCAAGATCATATTTCTTGATCTGAATCCTGACGAATTTTTTCGTCCACTCTGAGCGAAATATGGTGATGTCACATAAATCGGGCGACTTTGCGTCATTTTTTTTTCAAAAAATATGAGAGGTATTGTACGGTGATTTCTAAAACAAAATCCGTTGAGTTAAACGTCAGAAAAAAAACATATTCCATTTGCTTTGTCAGGGAAAATTATAGCGATTTTCTGGATTGTGTGCTACAAAGATGGTGATAACAAAGCTTTCATTACTCCCATCCCCCCTGGACACTTCACAACAGTAGCAGTCGAAGCAGTGTGAAAGCAGTCAAATCAAACCATACTCAGCAAACGTCTGAGT